CATATCTCCCAACTTGAGGGGGAGTGTTAAAATCCCAGTCGTTCCCTCTTGAAGGAGATCCGACGACCACGAAGAGCGATCCGTGGGAAGCTCGCAAGAATCATGCAAGATCATATTGATTCCTTTCCAAAATGAAGTGGCTGATTTAGGAAGTAATATATTAAGACTGTTATGCATGAATCTGTAAATATTTGTTTCTTTATTTAGATATCCTGTATAGATCCATAAATAGGAAAGAGATTGAGTAATGAGATATAATTTTTTCCCTCTCAAACTTCTGATTTTAACAAAAACTTACCTAAATCCTAAATTAAAGTCTCGAAAAAATCACGCTTAAGTGCACCCCCAAGCTGCAGCAACTTTCTCTCGGCTGTCTTGAGCTCCAGCCCTCTGTTTTCTCCAAAGTCAGCATCGTCATAGCCACTAGGGATCACTTGAAACTCGCACACCACCACCACTTCCTCTAAAATTTTAAGAGTATTAATCTCATCTTTATATTAATGAAAAATATTTATGAAAGAGGAAGATAATTGAAATAAACAAAAAAAAAGTAAATTGGGAGACATTAGACTTCAGGATTAGAGAAGGGAGAGACCAATTTATTGTTATGATGATGGCTTAAATAAAAACCTCCTTAGTGATGATAGTGCAGAAGAAATATAAGTTTTTGTCAACTATTTCAATTTTCTTGAGGAATTTAGTGTGGATTAATAGGGAACTAGAACTAAGAAAGAAGGAAATTGGAGTTGAACTTATTATTAGATGATACTTTTATGTCATTCATATATTTAATATTATTTTGCTCTTCTAATATTTGAATTTCAATTATATTTCATGTAATTTATCACTTATCACTTTACGTCTTGTGTAATTTTTTATTTCATATGTATATTAATTTGTTACTTCATAATTCAATAGAGAAAGGTAATATGTCATCTTTTAACATATTATTTAGGTATTATATAAAAAATCACTTTTAATATTTATTTTAACTTAACGCAATTTTATTGATTTTGCGCCTCAAACGCCTTGAGGATTAGGCCTCGCCTCACGAACAAAAAAAGCCTCAATACCCAATTGTACAATTTTAAACCTTGAATAAATATTAAAATTATTTAAATAGTATTTAAATGAAATAATAATGAGAAAATAATCATACAATAATATAAATTTGTGACTAAAAATTAAAAAAATATATAATCATACATAAATAATAGTTTCTATAATTTCAAATTTAAACACATTTAATCTTTAAATTTGACACACATTTAATATAAATTTATAAATTTAATATAAATTATTATTAATTTATGGTATATGTTTAAATATATTTTACATCCATAGGTTATATACCAATTTTATTTTATAAATTATATCTAAAAAATTATTTATGCTAAATAACTAATCATAATAAATAAATAAAATTTATTTTTTTGTATTGCATAAATAAATAAATTATTATTATAAACAAAAAAATAAATATTATTCACATATTAAAGAATTAATTAAAAAATATGTTTAAAAATATTAATATATATGTGAGGTTAATAAACCTCAACTAATCTATTTAGTATCACATCACTTGAAAACTTTTTTTTGCTATGTTTATATAACATTTTGGGTTTTCATATATTAAGAACTCACATGGAGTGGTGGAGCAATATGATATGAAGATGCTTCATGGTATTATGGGACAAATAAATATAATAAGAATTTCATGCTAATTTAAAATTAATTATTTTAAATAGAAATTAAATTGTTTACTTATGAATATTATTTAATATTTAATATGTAATGTAATAAATTTATTTATTTATTTAAATAATACAGCAAATGAATGAGCCGGCTCAAAGGAATCGGGACCAGTTCGTTGGTTGAACCGGTGGTTCAGTTTAGTTTGATGCAAAAGTGATTTTTAGAGTGGACCGGACCGACCTTGTAACCGGTTCATGATTGAACTGATCAGTACTCCTATTTTTTAAACATTAATAACATTATTAAAATAACATCAACAGTGATCAAATAAGCATTGAAAGAAAGAGGGGCTAAAAGGTTTATCCCATACTTAGATAGAAGCAAAGTTTCCATACTATACATAGCAACTCAAGGATTTAAAGAATTAAATTTCTATAAAATATATGTATAAAGATATACCATAAACTTGGGGACAATCCCAACTCCTGCTTGGTCCAACCATTACATCAACTAAACAAGTCCTATAATTCATATTATACTTTAATAAATGTGGAGTTAAAATTCCATCAACCATCTTGGATAAAACTTGGCCTTGATTTTCAAGATTTATGGCTACCAACTCAAGATTCATTCATGCTTGACTTTTCAAAATGATGGCCAACTAATTCAAGATTAATCCATTCAAAATGATGGCCAACTAATGATGACCAACCTGGTCATAGCAAAATAATAGTTCTTATTCGGACTCCTATAATAAAGAGGAGAATGAAGTGACTCGAGCAACAACAACATCTTCTTATCCATGTTTAACCCTTATCTTCAAATTATGAAGGTACTCTGTTTTCTCTCAACTATATAAAATAGTATATTTCTCCATATCATCCAATTTTGTATGAGGTGTAATTCTTCATGTACATCTTTTGAAACTTAGGGGATATTTTCATATCTTTGTGAGACCATATATATAAGCTTATTGAAGATGAACCACATAATTTTTGATATTTTATTTTGTGGTGATTTATCCCTTTTGTAGATACTATTTTGTTCATTGTATTTTCCCTTGGGTTAAATTGTCATTTCTCCTAATAAATGGTATTAGAGCGAGATTATGAAAATTATGAGGAACATGAAATTTAAGATTAAAAAATTTTTTAGCTCAAAAAATTTCGGCCTTTAGAGAACCAAAATGCATGGTTTTCTTATCTAACAAGGACTTGTAAAGGCACCCATGGGCGTAAACAAGATGCCAAATTTATAAGTGAAGAAGAAGACTCTCTCAATGATTCAACTATGTTTGGACGACAAAATCTTGACAGAGATCTTAGGAGAAAGCAAATACAAAAGATTTGTAACTCAAACTAGAGCGTTATATATGATCAAAATCCTCTCCAACAAATTTTATCAAATGCAGAAACACTATGTACTTCGGAAGCAAGAATGCACGCCTATTAAATCACATTTGAATGAGTTTACTTCAATCATTCAAGAGTTCATTATGATGATAAAGATCAAGTATTGTTATTATTATGTTCTTCATCTATCTCTTACAGGAATTTTAGATATACCATATTGTATGGTTGTGATACAACAATCTTAGAGGACATCAAGAATTCACTTCTTTCAAATGAGATCATTTCTAAGCATGAGGTAGGTGATAAACAAGCGAAAGGCTCATGCAAGTTTAATGGGGATCCTATGGGCAAGGGTTCTCTTCTAATAATGGTAGAACTAAATATCAAAATAATTTTAAGGAAATTACTTGATTTTATTATTAGAAGAAAGAGAACACAAAGAAGAAGTATTTTGTCATGAAGAAAATGAAGCAAAAAAGTAAATGAGGAACTGCAGGCACAAAATGGATAATTTAAATGATAAAAGTGTTGTTGAAATTTTTTCTGGTTCAAAAATTTGTGGTGCTTTTTTGGTGACTGAAAATAAAAAACTGTAAAGAGCAATGGATTCTGGACTTAACTTATTATAATTGCATGTGTTGTAATTTAGATATGTTTTTTTACATATGAGCCAAGTTCTAATAATTATGTTAACATCAGAATCAGAGCTAAGTGCAAGATTCTTGTTTCTAACATTGTAAATTTAAAGGATGTACTGAATTTAAAGAAGAATCTAATATCTTTTTAAGTGTTCTTAAAGTTGCAAGATATATATTCTCTAGTGATGTCAATACCCTTAAGATAAATAGAGTTAGTGAACCATATGTGGAGTTCAACGTCATATATTGACATAAAGCCAACCTTTGCGACTACTGATATGAAGGTGGCACATAGATAAGTATTGAAACACGAACACTAAACAAGTGCATAGAAAATTCAAACTTTAATTGGGTATTAAGTGTGGGATAAAAAAATCATTAACTATCATGGATAAGACTATGACTTCATTTTTCAATATTAGCGTCCAACTAAACATTCATTCATACTTGATTTTTCAATATGGTGGCTAACCTAAATCAAGATTAATTCCTTCGCAATTTATTTTTCAAGATGATTCCTACCAAACCTAAGCTTCATTAAATGCAAGCTTGCTACTTATAATGTCTAAGAACTATATAAAGAGATGGTTATACTATGTTGATGCATCCCACAATAGGAATTAACAAAGAGAGGAGGGGGGGAAGAGGAATGTCATCCTAAAAAGAAAGGAATAAATTTTCTTAGGTGTTTACAAGTACAGTTCTTCAATTTGCTCAAGAAGAATAGAGTGTTGTTATTTATTATTCTAACAAGAGAAGAAGTTCTTGATCATCACAGGAAATAGTTCTCATTTGAACTACAACAATAAAGAAAACAAAGTAACTAAAGCAACAATATCATCTCCTTCTCTGTATTTAACCCTCATCTTCGCAATAGGTGATATATTTTCTCTCAGCTATAGAAAGCAGTATATTTTTCCGTATCTTTTAATTTTATATGAAGTATAATTATTTATGTACCTATTTTGAAGCTTTATCGTTTTTTTTTTTTTTCTGTGTGATCATAGATGTATGCTTACTAAAGATGAACAACAAAAAATTTTGACGTTCTCTTTGTGGTTCATTGTACTTGCCCCTAAATTAAGGCGCCATCTTTTCGGACAACTTTTTGTTATGATAAAAATTGGTATTCTTCAAGAATCATAAAGCCTAAAAGTCGTCACCAAAACCATAATAACCATAAGTTGAAAAACTCCATATTCTAGTTTTTGAACCCAGCTTCACAACACGCCCAAAAATATTTCGTATCAAAGAGAAAGAAAGAAAGAAACCAAACAAAGCTATTAAACTAGAAAATAGTAATGATTTTCCGCACCCTTAGATAAGACAAATCATAAATCGCGTAAGCCGCGGACTTGTTGATTGTGATGATGGGGGGCACCCGTATCGTCTGCATTTTCTGCGTATCGTTTTCCTCCACCTCCACCAACTCCGCAACTATGGAAGCCTCCCCGCCGCTCTACCGTTCAAAAATAAAGATAAAGGAAATTAGTCGCCGTGCAGCACCGCATTGTACAATACGCTAGAATAATGAGGACTAAAAACTAGGGTTTTGAGTTCCTCAAACACCCTAAAAAATATCTAAAAGAGAATGCTGACTTACGGAACCGCTGGGGACGACCATGTTGATGACTACCTTCTTCTCACAGTTCAAGTTGTCGGAGCCGGATGTCCTGACGCAGCGTTCCAATTTCGATTTGGAGAGGATTTCGATGGCTGTTGAAGTAGGATGGAGACAGAGGATGCAGATGAAGAGGAAGAGATGATGGAATTTTCTTTTCGCAACTGAGCTGCTGAAGCCCATCACTGGCTTGTTCGGTATTGGCCGTGGAGGAAAGCGTCGAACAGTCTTGGAGAAGAAAGGGCGATGAAGGGGCTGTTTGGCTACAGGATGAGCGCTTCGTAATCAAACGGCGGATTAAGCGCGCGAAAGGATGCGCTCCCCTGTAAGTGGCCGAGCCCGTAATTTTTTTTTTTTTAATTTTTTATGTGGGGTATAAATTCAATACTAAGGGGCTGTTTGGTATCGGATTTACAGTGGGATTTAAGTCGGATTTACGCTAAATCCAGCCAAACAGTTATTTGTGCGCGCGTGAAATCCCGTAAATCTCGGATTTACGGATTTAGGGCTTAAATACGGGATTTATCCGAAGAAGCGCGCGAAAGGGAGAAAGTTACCTTCACAGCCAGCGAGCTCCCATTCTTGCTTCCGATCAAAATGTCGTAACTTCCGATCGCAGGAGCGAAGTCGAACAGCCACGAAGGAGCCGCAGAAGCGACACATGCAATCTATACACCTGCAAAGCAACGGAGCCGAACTCCAACGACGAAAGAGAAGATGAAAGGCAAACCATAGACGCCTCTAAAAGTTATTATTGATTAACTTAATTAATATAATTTAAATTATTAATAATTAAGTAAATTAATTAAATAAACAATTGTATAATTAGTGCATAAATTAATAATATAATTTAACTTAATTGTATGATTAGTAATTAAATATTAATATAATTAGATTAATTAATATAACTTAATATATCTATTATTAAATTTATAAGATATTATATTTTTTTTTAATTATAAATTTATTTTTTAAGTTATAATTATATTCTTCACATTTAAATTCATAACTTGCTATAAATCCTGAAAATATGTTATGAAACAGTTTCTCAGGATTTAACACGCGATTGAACATGTAGCATCCAAACAAGGTTATCAGGATTTAACCATTTCGGATTTACCTAAATCAGATTTACAGGATTTACCTAAATCCCGCTAAAAAAATAAATCCCCACTTGTTGCCAAACAGCCCCTAAAGTAAAAAAAGAACTCATTTGATTGTGGACGGCATTTCAAAAAAAATAATAATGTTAGAATTATATGCGTAAAAAATTAAATTATATAATAAAAATTTACAATCAAAATCACATCATATTCATATTTTCTGCATATATATATATATATTTTTTTTTCCTTTGAACTTAATACTGTTTGGAATCCGTTGTAGAATCTTTTAATTGTCAATATTATTTAAAAATATTATTTTCAATAATATTTGCTCTTGCGAACCGTTATCTGTAGGCAATTGGCAATAATTTAAAACAAAGCTTAACAAGTTACTATTAACCAAAAGGCAAACATCATTTTTGTTACGTTCTCAATTACTTTTTGTGCAAGTTTTACTCAAATCCACTTAAATTGTTTAAATATCACTAGATTTCCATATAATGAATAAAGGTCCTCCCAAGTGACTAATCTAATATGAAAATGAGATGTATATCTGATGGATAAAATTTGGCCATACGTACCAAATCTTAGTTGTCAAAAGCTAAGAATTGAGCACATTCATCAAATATGTCACACACTATAAGCAACTCAATTTTGTATTCCCATCAAAATTCTTTGTTAAGCTCTTGAAGTTGCATGTCTATAACCGAATAAAATAACTCAATTTTGTAGTAAGGGTTCATTGGTGATTCTTGAAATAATGTTTTGAATTCCTTCGCATATACAAAAATATATTAGTTCATATTTGGAATGATTAAATTATCTAATATAAATGATTTGTGAGAGGGGGGGGGGGGGGGGAAGACTCGCAGTTAGGTTACAGATACATGAGAGAATGCCAATGCGGAAACTTCATCAGAAACAAGGACGACAATGGTAACTATTAGGTTTTTAATCTATGATTATATATATATAAAGTTATCAATTATAAAATAAAATAAAATAAATCATTTGGCCAGTGGGGGCAAGCGCCCCCAGTGCCCCCACTATGCCTCTGTCATTGCTTGTCGTTGCTTCCGATCAAAATGTCGTAACTTCTGATTTGACAAGAAGGGAACATCGTGGAAGGAGCGAAGTCGAACAGCAACGAATGAGCTGAAGAATGGACATGTGCAACACTCTACACCTCATGCGAAAGCCGAACAACAACGACTAAATGGACAAGAGAAAAGCAAACCCTCTAAGGTATAAGCTATTATTGGTTAACTTAAAACATTTATAGTTGAGTAAACTATAGAAGGATTATTAGATAAATAATTAGCTATTTTAAAATAATTAGGAGGATTAAATATAATTTCAAATGGAAATAATTACTATATAACATAATAATTAATTAGTATTAGAATATTTAAATGATTAGTGAGATAATTAATAATTAAATGTAATTAAATAATGCTTTAAATTAATTAAACCATTAGTAGGAGTATTAACAAAATAATTAGTTATTTTAAAATTTTAACTAATTGATTAGATAATTATTAATATAATTAGATATCAAATACTTATTAAATTAACATATAGAAAATAAATTTAATAAATAATACTATCATCATGGACTGAGAAATTCATGACAGTAGAATGATAGGATTTACTTCTTAGCAATGCACGAAAATTCAGCACACAAATAGATAATGATAAATTAAAACCAAGATTTTTACATGAAAATCCTAAAAAGGGGGGAAACTTACAAGGCCCAACCTACTTGAAACGATTCTACTGGTGTTTAAATAGATTACAAAGGTTATCATGTCTTTTAACTCAGGGATAGTGAGAATATAATATACTGGAGAATATGTCAAACTTCATACAAGTGTTCTTGATCTTGATTAAATTATAGGTCTTAGAAAATTTGGTGGCAATAGTTAGGAAAATGTTTAACAGAGATATGACAATGATTGGAGATCAGGTGATAATCAGCAGATGGATGGTAGTCTGATAATGTTTGGAGATCCAGAGGTAGTCAATGGTCAGGCGAAAGTCGAGCGATGATTGTTGATTGGGAAGAGTTCTGACATAGACCAATAAAACAACCAAAAGCTCGATGACGATCGATAATCTGGAAGAAATTCGGTTTTGTCCAACGAAAGGGCGAAAGTCTGACGATGGTTAGTGGTTGGGAAAAGATATGGTAGTGTCCAACGAAGGTGCGGAAGTTCAGCGTAAGTCGGTGGTCAAGAAAATATCGGTGGTGTCCAACAAACTGGCAAAAGTTCGGCGAAAGGCGCCAGTCAGGAAGAGATTCGGCGGTGTCCAATGAATGGGCAGAAGTCCAACGATGATCGGTGGTTGGGAAGAGATCCGGTAGTGTCCAACAAATGGGCAAAAGCTCGGTCACAGTCGGTGGTCGAGAAGATATACTGTAGCAATGGTGCTAATTGGAGAATGCAAGTGAGCTCTCTAGCTTTCACTTCTCTTGTTCCCCCTTCATGTGAAGAATGAGGGTATATTTATAATTTTTTTGAAGTGACTTGCCAAATAAAAATGGATAACATCAAGGGTAAATTTGGAGCATTTCATCAGACGTCTCATATTAATTCCCTTAATCACAAGGCATTTGTTTAGCATTTAAGTATATTAATGGTTTCAAAATTAAGTAATCTTAGGCTAGTTGGATTCGTTTCATTGAGCTGCTCAATTCGACTATAAGCAAGTTATATTCGAATATCATTTGGTCATCCAATTAATGCTCTAAAGCTTCTAAGCAAGTTTGGGTCATTTGATTTGAGTTCATTTGGTCTTGGATTGGAGTATTGGACTAAATTTAATGTTATTATGTTCATCTTCACGAGATGTTCAATTTGACTATAAGCTTACTGAAAATAGAAATTTGATTTATCCCAAATTTAATATTGTAAGTTTTTTATTCATATTTGCATCAAGATTTGTGCCTGGTTAAGATAATTTTATTGTACATATCAACTATAATTAGTAATTAAATTATTAAATGACTAAGCTAATTTCTAATTAAATTATTTATCATTATAATTTGTCATATAATTAAAATTAATAAGCAACTTGTACTTAACATGCAGTTCAATTCATAACACATTAAATTTATTTTTTAATGAACCAAATGCCTTAAATCTTGGATTATGTTGCCAAACAATTTCATAGTATTTAACAATATTTAATTACTATTTTGCCAATCAATTTTAAGGATTTAACATTCCTATGATTTATCAGGATTTACTAAATCATACTAAAGTTGAATCCTACTTTTGCCGGATAGCCCCAAAAAGATCGGAAGAAGAAGCAACCCTCATGAATATATATATATGGCAAATATGTAACTACATAACTTCCCTCTTAGGGCATGTTTATAGGGTTTAAATAAAATTCGGTTCGTCATGGACTATCATAAATATGGTCAACCCTTTTTTTTTTTTTCTTTTGGGAGGTTGACGACTATAGGGCTGCCAAAATGGGTATTCAAGTTAGGTTTCGGTCTAAGTTAAAGTAAAGTAAATATATTGTATTTCATTCTAGTTCATTTTTTAGGTAAAGCGTTCTCTCCCAATTTGGGCAAGAACGCTTTACACCACTTGATCCTTACTTGACTGTCATCGTCGATGTCGTCACTGCCGCACGACAGTCTCCAACTTCATAGGCCATTTAATTCAATTTAAAGATCATTTATAATTTTTTTAGGTCGTCCCCCTCAAAATCTTATTCGTATACAATAAAACAATTTTTTGCATAGGCCATTTAATTCATTTTTTCCAATTTTTTATTTTCTAAGGAAAATAAATTAATCTATATCATTTAAAAAAGATAATTTTTAAATTGATATAAACTTATAAGCTATTTGGGATCAATTCAAATTTTAGCTATATGGAATTTATGAAAACTAATCTTCATTTTAGCTATATTTTTACATTTTCTAAATACTTCCTCTCATCCGTCCTCATGCCTTCCCCTACATCCTAAGCATCCTTTAAGAGTATCCATCACTCAAACCAAACATCAAAATTATTCCATAATTTCGCATATTTCTCTCGGCCAGGCAAACCAAGACTAAGACTTAGGCTTCGTTTGAGAAGACTTTCTGATTGCTTCTTAAAGCAGCTTCCTAGTACAAAAATTTTAATTTTTGTACTAGGAAGCTGCTTTAAGAAGCATAAAGAAAGCCGTCCCAAACAAAGCCTTAGTCTTGTCCCCTATCTTTTGACACCGATCTAAACTCCACAAAACATAACAATCTACTTCAAATCGTAAGTACACATCTTGAGCTAATATTCCATAAGCATTTTTAGTAATTTACCTCACCTTAAATCTATTCTTCGAAGTAATATTCTAAATTAGCCCAAACCAGCCTAACATGGATTAATCTTGGCATTCCAACCGCTATATTTCTTATCGTTAAGTGTAGAGTTTAACTTACTAAATGTTTTGGATAAGATTTGATCTTGATTTTTAAGATTTTCAAGATTGATATCTATCATATTAATATTCATTCACACTTGATAACTCGACTCATACTTGATTTTCTAATATTATTGCTACTTACAAGGGGAGTTGTTTGGTTTAGCTTCTTCAAAAGCCAAGAAGTGTTTCTAATTTAAGTT